AGACCAGCTCCAGCTGCTGCCTTTGTGCCTCTCTCTGGGCTGCCTGCTGGGCTGCAGAGTCAAATCAACTGCTTGATCCAAGAGGGACTCTCATGTCTACTTTAACTCTCACAACAAACCCTTTGGAGTAAGAGGTGTCAGCACAAGTTTACAGAGAGATAGCAAAGGCAGACCTGCTCAGATAGGCAGCTGCTAACCAGTAGAACTAGTGTTTGGGCCCAAGTTTTCCACTTCCTGAATTGAGCTCCTAGGGTTCCCTGCATTTCCCCTTTCCTTGTTCCAACTAATCAAGTGATTACCTTTTACTCAGTGGCTCAGGAGAGGAATGCAGCAGAGCATAAAATAGAAATAGTTCTTTGTGTGTGTGTGTGTGTGGGGGGGTGTGTTGGGGATTGAATCCAGGGCCTTGAATGCAAGGTAAGCACTCTACCAACTGAGCTATATCCCCAGCCCAAAATAGAAATAGTTCTAAAAGCCTAAGCTCAAGCAGAAAGTCAGTCTCAGGAAGGGACTAATGTCTTGGTGTCAAATAGTCAGTAGGCTCTGCTCCCAAAGCCAGAAAGCCATGTCTTCTGGTTAGGGAGAGGAAGAGAAAGAAGGTGAGAGGAGTAAGATGCATCTTGTGGGCAGCAAAACCCTGCCTGGCAGGTCAGAACTAACAGAACTAGAGAGAAAGTCTCCTGCATTCTGCCCATGGGATAGAGGCAGCATGGCTATGAGCTAGATACTTCAGACTAAAATGTGGACTAAAAACCTGACCAGATGACTTTCTTGATTCTTTGATGTATAGCTGATCCTGAGACTGTTTTAAGGATAAATATTTGTCTTAATGTTACCCTCAAAAGAAACAACTAATTTCCCTTATCTTTAAATACACATTTCTTCCACCTACCTATATCATACAAGCTCAGCTATACTTTATACTGAGAATTAAGTCAAAAGGCAGTAAAGTGGCTGGGGGTGCAGTGCAGTATTAAAGCATGTGCCTAGCATAAGTAAGGCCCTAGGTTCCACCTCCAGCACCATCAAAAAAAGACAGTAAAGGCTGAGCAGTTTGCATCCCTTCCAATGCCAGCAGGGTGCTAAAGATCTCAGCCTCCTTAGCCACTGGCCACCTCCAATGCTGAGGGATGCAGCTCAAGGGCCTATGTCCTCCAGTAGAGCCTACCTGCCTGGCCTTCCTCCTTTCACAGGGAGATCTGCCCCCTGGAGCTGAGAGACCCCAACCTATCTCCAAGCTGAAGTTACAAGGTATTGAAGTACCAGCCAAATGTCTTCCCATAAATAATGGTTGCTGGGTGCTGTGGCCCACGTCTATAATCCAGTGGCTTGGGAGGCTGAGGCAGTTCAAAGCCATCCTCAGCAACTTAATGAGGCACTAAGCAATTCAGTAAGACTGTCTCTAAATGAAATATAAAAAAGGACTGGGGGTGTGGTTCAGTGGTTAAGTGCCCCTGGGTCCCTGGGTTCAATTCTTGGTACAAAAAAAAAAAAAAAAGTGGCACAAGGCAATGAGGTTCCTGCTAGTAACAGGGAAACTGACAATGGAACTGGCTGACCTGGAACCCCTGCTAGAAGAGTAGGGCAAACTGACAATTACCAAACCAACCAAAGCTGAGGAAGAACAAACATACTCAAGAGTCCCAGGATGAAGAGGAGGTTGTGTGGTACTGATGCTTTCCCTGCAAGTGCACTGTGCCAAGGAGATGGAGGAATTGGTGTATAAGGTCTGGTAGGGATGTGTGAGGGTCATCCCATATGATTTGCTCCTTGACTGATTGAAGGACAATGACTACCTGCTCACAGCCATAGAACACATGTGCCCTCCTTTCAGGCTTGCTTCAAGATCATCTTCTGCATCTATACAGAAACTTGAAAACTTTTGGACCCATCTGCTTGATTGTGCACTTTGACTTTTTTTGGGAATACTGACCACACTCAAATTTATTTATTTCATAGCTACTCTTCAGGAGAAGGCAGTTTGGGTGATTTTCTTTTTGGGTGCAGTGATCTGCTGCAGCTTTTCCTGGCTCTTCCAACATCATCTTTTGTCAAAATCAGACTTTTTTCAAACAAGACTATTAAGAGATTGTTCAACCGATTATGGGAAGCTTTGTTTCTTGGCTCTAGTACATCTTCTACTGCTTCCCACAGTGTGGACTAACTCAACTCTTTCCATCATCTGTGTCCTAGGCATTTCTGCATCCCTTTGGCATTGATTTGGCATTCTTAAGCACCAGCAGACAAGAGCAAGAATACTGGACACTGGGCTTGAGTGGTGTTGTGCCCACTACTCACTTTCATAGACCCTGGGCAAAAACCTTTCCATTTCCATTCTGCTGGCTGGGGAGGGTGGGGATGGTCAACTTTAGCTATCTTCATCCTCAGCAATCACCTTCCTTGTCAAGACAACTGCTGGCCCCTCTCAGAGATAGTCCTTTGGCATTCAGTTGAGATTTTATCCCCTCCTCCAATTATTTTTGGAAAATATGGACTGGGACTCTACAGAAATTGTTTTTTACGGAAGAAAATGTACCTTCCTTACCTTCATCCTCACTTTGTAACCTGACATGTAACACATAAACCATACAATTTTGCAGCACACTTTTAAAAACAATTATAATCTGATCCCATCTTTCTAGGGCCTGGACCTTACACAGTAGGAAGAATTTTAATACACCAAACTTTTAATAGCCTAGCTAATCATGGAAGTGTGTGCAGGCTTCACATAACTTGAGTTTTAATTTTTTTTTTCTTGGTTGAGTAACATAAAATTAAAATGGAGAGGACTTGAGATGTAGCTCAATGGTAGAGCACTTGCCTAGTATGTGTGAGGTCCTGGGTTCAACCCCAGCATTCCAACAACAAGAAACACAAAGGAAAACGATATCTGATGCTCGATACTAAGGTTTAAAAAGAAACCTGCTGGGCTGGGGCTACAGCTCAGTGGTACAGTGCTTGCTTAGCACATGTGAGGCACTGGGCTCAATCCTTAGCATCTGCTATCATCCCTAGGTATCTTGATACAAAGACTATAATGACAGAAGACACTTGGCATTAAAAAAAGAAAAGAAAAAAGCCAGTAAGCCTCCAATCAATTAGCTAGGCTTCCAATCTACCTGAGAAGTTTCCAGGGAATCTCAGACAGACCATTAAAAATTAGAATTAAATCAATAATGGCATCTACAAGTATCTATGCTAAAAGTCTTAGTTTTATCTATAAAGTGGGCACTTGGATTATCCTTGTTTTACAGAGGATGGCTCAGAGAGATTATTCAATGATACAAGCTAGGATCCAAATCCAAGATTCTGGCTTTAAAGGCAGCATTTCTAATTACTGTGCTAGTGTCTGGTTTGAAACCACAGGCAGGGAGCCACCTCAACACTGTAGAGGTTCTAAGTAAGATTGACCCCCTGTAATATAAGTGCTACATGCAAGTCCTAATAAGGGTATACAGAGAACTTGTCCTCAAAGAGCTCACTTAAATTAAAAAGGTGAGATATAGGGCTAGGGCTGTAGCTCAGTGGCAGAGAGCTTGCTGCGCATGTGTGAGGCATTGGTTTTGATCCTCAGAACCACATAAAAATAAACAAACAAAATAAAGGCATTCTGTCCATCTACAACTATTTAAAAAAAAAAAGGTGAGGCATATATATGTACAAGGCAACTACTTACATAACACAGCAAAAGAATGGTACAGGCAGGAGCTATGGGGGAGGCCTGTGTGTACCTTCTTACATCATGGAACCTTAGCCATTGCCCATGTGCTAGGACACATGAGTTGCCTGTCTGACAGCCTTCTCATCTGGTGATGGGTACCCTTGATATGATAGATCTCTTCTAACAATGATAATTGTGTTTCCTCTGCCTAACTCATATTTCTGCCAACCTGACACCCTCTGCTGGATGGGTCTCTTTGATTCACTGAACCACACACTCACTTGCCCTTAGCTATCATATCCTTGGATAAGCTCACCTCAGTGAAACACCATGTCATCTTTTTCAGCTTTTAGTTCACCAATTTTTTTTTCAATTTTGTTTAAAATACAAAAGCAAACAAATAAGCATATATCTTTTGTCCACAAATTTTAATTGATATTTGTTTTTATGAAACGCCATCTTCACTTTACTAATTTCAGAGTGAAGAAATTATATAAAATACATCACACAACTAGGCCAGTAAAATAAAACTACTTTAAAATTGCAGCATACATTGATTTACCTGTTTCAATTAAACGTTAGCCTGAATCAAACATACATAGGAAATAAAGCAAGTATATATTACGGTGAAATATACCTGTGAAAATAACATTTGATTTTGAAAGGTGTAAGTAAGACAATGAAGTATACTGCAATGTAAAGTCAGTACATTGATTACAACATATTAAAGAAACACACAGTGGTATGCTAAAAATGAAACCTTATGATTCTAGCCACATCTAGAGCCTAGTAATAAATTTCTCCTCATGACCAAAGATCTAACATAACAAGTTTCTAAACTTGTGGCTTCTCTTTTACAATATTTCAAGTCAATCCTTATTTCCGAGAACTATGTGCCAATTCCAAGAATACTGCATACAAAATCAATAGCCAGGAATGGTGGCATATTTCTGTAATCCCAGCTACTCAGGAGGCTGAGGCAGGAGGAACATGAATTCAAGGCCAGCCTGGGCAATTTAGTGAGACTATCTAAAAAAAAAAAAATAACAAAAAAGGGCTAGGGCAGTAGCTCAGAGGCAGAGTGCTACCTAGTAAAAAAAAAAAACCCAAAAAACAAAAACGCTGGAGATGCAGCTTAGGGTTGAGTAACCCTGGGTTCAATCCCTAGTGCTTAAAAAAAAAGGGGGGGGGGCTCACAGCAAGGTGCTCTGAAACCTATAGAACAGTCTGTTTGTGCTAATTCCAGGGCTAATTTTTCCAAGGTGTTACTTGGATATTCCCTTAAGGGACCCAAAGGGTGTTATTGGATTGTTAATGTCTGTCTCTCTCTCCCTTCACCTTTTTTTTTTTTTTTTAAGCTTTAGGGTAGGGTAAATAGTTTTAAATTTTAATAAAAATTTTAAATTTTAAATAAAACTAAAAATAGTTTTATTCATAGAGGCACTGTTGTAGGCATTAAGGTTAAAATAGGAAATAAAGTAAATCCCTGCCCTTAAGGAACTTAAAATCTGATAGTGGGATTGGAAAAAAAGAAGTGTATACACACACACACACACACACACACACACAAACACACAGTGATAGGTGCTATAGAAATAAAAACAGGTAAAAGGGGACAGAAAGTAATAGTGAATGTGTGGGATGCTGTGTAAACAGACTGGTCAGGGAAGGCATCTCTGATACAGTGATTTGAGAAAGCATCCACAGAAGATCAGGGGAAAACAACTCTAGGCAGAAGAGATGGCAAGTAAAAAAGCCATAAAGAGGAAAACAAGCAGGCATGTTTAAGAAATACTAAAGAGGCAGACAGACTATAGTGGAATGAGCAAGGAAAAGGGGTCTGGGAAGAGGTCAAAGAACTAGGATTAAAGCAGATGGTATTTTGTAGGCCATAATCAAGTCTTTGGATTTTGGGTCACTTAAGATGGGAAACCATTGAAGTGTTCTGATTTGGCATAAACGGGCTATGGGAGAAGCAAACTCATAAAAACTTGAGATAATGTAGATGAAAAATGATGTAAATATTTGCTGCATACCATTGGCTCTACACATTCAGATTCAATTAACCCTGATTTAAAATTTTATTTAGAAAAAATTATATGTGTAGCAGCTGGGCTTATAGCTCAGTGGTAGAGTAATTGCCTAGCATGTATGAGGCACTGGGTTCAATCCTCAGCAACACATAAAATAAATAAAGGTAATGTGTCCATTTACAACTAAAAAAATATTTTAAAAAAAATTTGCATGTGTAGTGAACATGTAGACTTTTTCTTGCTATTATTCTCTAAAAATGTTTACGACTATTTATAATGCATTTCTATTATAATAGGTTATAATTACACATTTATAATTATAATTTAGAGATGATTTAAAGTACATAATATAAATAGGCATATGAAAAAAATACTACTACATAATTTTATATAAGGGTTTGAGTGTCTGTGGATCTTGGTATCCATGGGGTGAGGGTGGGGGTCCTAGAACCAATCCTTTGAGGATTCTGAGAGAAGACTAACTGTAACTAAATTGAGTGTATAGTGTTTTTAATTTTTTTTTTTTTTTGGAGGACAATAGGTAGCTATGTTGAATTATTTTATTTTTGGCAGTGGGAATTGAACATAGGGGTGCTTCACCACTGAGCCATATCCCCAGTCCTTTTTATTATTTATTTTGAGACAGGATCTTACTAAGTTGCTTGGGCAAAGAAAGGACTCAGGAAGCAGGTGGCCACTTTAGCCACGGAGAGAGGCCTGAGGAGAAACTAGACAGCTGGACCTTGATTTTGGGAATTCCATTTTCCCGGACTATGAGACAACATATTTCTGTGGTTTAAGCTGCCAGTTTGTGATATTTTGCTTGCCCTGACAAACTAACACAAATATATAGGCAAAATATTAACAGTAGTGACTGTAAATATTAGGGGGATTATGAATGAATAAAACCTTACTTTTTGTCTGTGGTTTTCTTCTGATTTTTCTCAACTCCTGTTTAATACAAATATGTTCAAACTAAAACACAATTTTAAAGAACACTGATTAGAACTGGGCTTCCTGGTCTATGTTTTTCTTTAGTTTTTACCTTCTCAGGCTGTTGGGTGCTTAGGATGAGCCTGAGTGTGGTCCCTAAATTGGGTTAGGAGAACACCCCAGAGCTAGAAAGAATAAACTCTAGGTCAGGGTGAAGTAGAGTAGAGGATGAACAAAAATCCACATAAGATAAAATGCTACCTTTATCCTATTAAGATTCATAGCTTTTATGTCTTTGGTGGAACCAAGGACCCCAATTAAGGTCAAAGCTCAGCTAGGCACAGTGTTATACATGTGTAATTCCAGTGACAAAGGAAGCTGAAGCAGGAGAATTATTGAGGCCAGCCTCAACAACTGAGCAAGACCCTATCTCAAAATCCAAAGGCTGGAGATTAGCTCAGCGGCAAAGTGCCCCTGGATTGTTCAATCCTGAGAGAGAGAGAGAGAGAGAGAGAGAGAGAGAGAGAGAGAGAGAGAGGTGTGTGTGACAGGGGAAGGTAAATGTAAATCTACATTTACTATCCAGTCTCAGAGTAATGACTGTGTGTCAACTCAGTGGATTGAGAAATCAAGTGAACAGAGCAGAGAGAAAGGACTTGATTACAGAAAAGATACACATGTATCATTTAACATAATCAGTATGAGAAGCAAATGTGAGAATGTTTAAAGAGCTGTCTTCTGGTTAAGAGCAAATATTTCTAAGTTGATCATCTTTCAGATCCAAGTCATTTCACTGCTTCAACTATATACAGTATGTTTAAATATTTTTAGTTGAGATATACTTAGGATACTCTTCTTTTTAGCAATTTTAGAGCAGTGACTAGAATGAAAAAAAAAAAAAACAAAAACAGGCACCAGCATGTAAGAACATTAGATAATCTTGATATTCCAATATGAAATAGTCAATTAGATGTTTTCATTCCTCTTTTCTACAATTTTCTTCTATATTCCCAAGGTCAGGTATAATTTACAATTCTACTTGGGTGTCCAGTTCTTCATTGAGACCTAGTCTCTCCCAAATTACTCTATGCTTTAAAGTTATCTTTTTATTCTGACCTCCTGCTTCCTTAAATCTTCTAAACAAGAATCTCCTTTTATTCCTTCACTGATCTTTTCTTGATCTAATTCATTCCGCATGTAATAATAGAATAATAATAATTGTGAAAGGTTGCTAAACCCTGTTCCAAGTCTTTTCTTTACCTTTCTAACAACCACATTCCTAAATCAATAGACCCAGTAGCAGCAACACTACTAGGTTATATAAATATACCAAGGGTTGACAGATAAAAATACAAGCCATATATACAAAATATAATTTTGCCACCTGAAATTTAAGGCAATTCGGTGTTTTACCTACTTTTTGATCTAGACCACTTTTACTGGAAAGTCAGAAACACCTAAAAAAATGATTCACTATTCTGTCCTATTATAATCCTATTGTAATTGTTACAGATCTGGGATATGTCAATTTCCGGTCAAATAGCTCCTATCTATAAAATTAAACCACTTTGCAAAAAGTAGATGAAATGTTAGAAGCACAAAATTAACAAATACTATTTTATTATTTATAAAATACATGGTGACCATAAGAGCACATATTACAAATTGGAAAAAAGTACAGGACAAAGTAAAAGCAAAAGGGTTAAATGACAACAAAGTATCCATTCATATGGAATTCATTTAGCATAAAACAGTTCTTTGTTACAGTTAGATAAGGCTAAGAGTAGGTTCACTACTGTGTTAAAAATGCCAGTAACTTAAGAAATATACCTCTACTCAAAAGTAGAGAAGTATTGGTAGTGCCTCTAAATGTGTCCTAAGTTAAATTACAGCGTATACAGACCCAGGGTTCCACAATACAACCATTGATTTTAAGCAGAAATCTATGAGAGACCTGACTGCCTATCTTGCTGAAAGAGCAAAGCCCCAGGACTAATTAACTTCCCTACCTTCCATAAAGCTTTGTTCAGGTGACTTTGGAATGTGGTATCAAAAACCCCATTCATTTCTGCTGCAAGTTCCCTCAGAATAGACACTGTGGACTCATCACTGGCATTCAGAATCCGCACAAAGAACTTATTCCACAGTTCACCATCCTTTAGCCTAAAATATATAAAACCATTTCCATCAAGATTAGGCATATGAAAATTAGAATTATTTTTGCTTTCAACTCAGAGGTACATTTATGCATCAAAATGATTTCAGGTAATAAATAGGAATCTAGGGTTAGGGATAATTCAAAGAGCTCTTTGAAAACCCAGGGAGGAACCACAAAAAGAGCCTACCATAGTGGGAAAAGCTATAATGCACATGAAAGGAAAGCAATTCTCATCCGAATCTATAAATTACCTATGTATATTAAGATATACTTTTCTCCACAAATAGAAAAAAAATTTTGGTTTCCCCTAACTTTCCATAAGTCATTAAAAAGACTATATATAGCTCCACATCCAGTGGTTTTTCATCCTTATAATTCTGAGAATACTAAATTTGAAGCAATCTGATTAAATCTATGATGTTTGTACCTCTGCTTACTATTATTTTTATCAGAACACTTCTATCAGTATAGGGCAGGGCCATACCCCACCTATTTCTGCTTGGTGAGCCATAGCCATCTGACTGAAAATGCCTGATTATCCTCTATGCTGACACTATGTTCCAAGTCTATTTCTAAAATACATGTAAGAGGGCTGGGGATGTCATTGGTAGAGTGCTTACCTAGCATGTGCAAGGCCCTGGATTCAATCCCTAGCACCATGCACACATACAAAGTACATGTAAGAAACAAATATGACTGGTAAAATTCTAAATTAAATAAAGAGAAAAATAAATTCAATGGTTTTAAGAGGGGAAAGTGGAGAAAAGGGATATTAAATTAAATATTCAACATTGATTTTTTTGTCTGAACCAAAGAATGCACCAATAAGTCATACACTGATAAGCTTATACTGAAAAGTTATTAGTCAAGATAAAAAAAAGGTGGAACAGAAGACATTTAGTAAGTTTTATGAGTAGGTTTGAAGAACTAAGGTTCTGAGACCAAGAAACCCATTTTTCTGGGTGTAAATGTGATGTCTATTTTTGAGCTGGGTGTCGGGGTGCATATCTGTAATCCCAGCAGCTCAAGAGGCTGAGGCAGGAGAATTGAGAGTTCCAAGCCAGCCTCAGCAACTTAGCAAGCCCCTAAGCAACTCAG